CGACACAAGCGCATGAAAACCCCGAAAAGATTATTTTTGGCACCGGCCCCGTGGATGTTGTATTCCTATTCGACCGACCGTGGCCCTAGGAGCGTTACGCATCCAGGCCACTCAAGGCTGATCCCTGAACTGCGCCCAACACCGATGCAATCTCAGAGCCCCCGCATTTCTCTCGAGTTAGTTACGATTGCTGACAAACTCTGATGGCTGCTGCTGCTGCTACATACTGCTCCTCCTCCCCCACGGCCTTGTACTCCCCTATCTCGATCGGGCCATGCACTGCGTTCCTGATGCGGGGCCCCCACGGCGGAGCTCCTAGCTCGCGGATCGCGTGCGACTTGTACGTGGTGGCCTCCATATGCTCGTGACCGATCGGGCGGAGCTCGGGGACAGTGAACAGCTCTGTCCGATACATGTCGGCTGGGTCGCTAATAACTGACAGACACGGGGAATCCAGATCTGCATGTGTGCCCACTTCAGATCCAGCAGTCCCTTCTGGTCGCCCGTCGTCTTCGCCTCGTTGTACTTTCGGCTTCCTGCGTGGCCAGCAAGTGCGGGTGGTCGGTCACCGCCTGCGCCGCCTCGACAGAGCACCCTGGGTCACCCCCCCCTGCAGGTCGAGTCCCACATTCGCCTTGGGCCTTGGCCCTATGCACCTCCAGTCTCTGCAGCGCCTGCGTCTGGTCGCTGGCCGCGCCCCGCCCGCGCATCGCGTCAGGCTCGGCCTGGGCCCGCGTCGTCAGCTGCGCCTGCGCCTCCTTCCATCCTCGGGAGTGTCCACGAGCGTGGGTGATAGAGCGGTGGAGTTCTCTAGTGGGCGCCAATGATCACGATCATCTCGGGGGGCAGAATGACTACGTAAGAGCGCGCGACGCCGGCAACAAATTCTCCGAACAGGAATTTGAGCTCTCGGGGGCGAGGGGGGTGAGGGCGAGCAAGACCAGCAAGAGCCCCTCCCCCGCGGCCCCTAGGACGCGCACTTCGTTTTCCCGCAGAGCGACATGTGTGCGAGCTGTCTCCACTGATGCGGAATTTCGAGAACGCCGGCAATGGCGACGCCATGTGGCTGGCGGCGCCTGCGCGCACGACGCCCATGACAAACAAGTGCTGCGGGTGAGCTTGCCTGGCATGGACGCACTGCGCGGTCGTCATATGTGCGATCACACTGGCAGTTGCCAAAGCCATGCGATTCAATTTCCAATTGGGCCGCGTCTCCTGGGGAAGAAACTCGCTGTGGGTCTGTAGAAGCTGATGAGTTTGTCCCTGGGCGGCTTGAAGAGCCTCGCGTCGTCGGACGTCGCGCGCCGACCCCGATGCCCGAGCGCGTCCGTTACTCGGAGAACAAGTTTACCCAGGTCCTCCAGGTCGTAGCAAAACCTGCTCGGCAAATTGTTGCACCCCCGACGCGGCGCCCCAGAATCAGCGAGCCCCCCCCCTCTCTTCGTTTTCAAATCGGGCTGGTTGGAGAAGCAAGAAGGGCAACATTTCCCAGCGGGCTGCGGGCATTTGACCATGACCACTGAAATGTGCGGAGCAGAAGCGTACTCTCAAACGTCGGAATCAGGAGCTCGTGTCGCACGTCAGCATTGGTAGACGTGCGAGCCAGCCTGCTCCACTCAGTCACGCGAGAACTAACTCGTGCCTGGCAGCATCACGCGAAGATGGGCCTGTTCGAACTTGTCGAAAACCAGCGCAGAATAGATTCGTTGACGTTGCGGCTTGCTTTGCTTGTCCAGGTGCGCCCTAGGGAGTTCCACCCGACGCGCGCTGCTAGGATGCGCTGTTCGTTTCTGTGGCAGGCTCACCTTCCTTGAAGCGAAGAAGCCCGGCCTTGGTCTCCGAGGCTGCAGCGGTGGCCCACCATTGGATCAGCGGGTCGTAGAGACGCGTGGACCTATCGGGCGCGGGTCGGCCCCCCTGAAGATCCCGGCAACCTTAGTCGAGCCGGCCCAATCTCCGCGTTCGGCCTCGCGATGCGTCATCGCTCGTCGGTTGCCCCTCGTTTGCCGAGTCGCTCCTGCATCGTGCGCGTCATCACTACCGATTGTTTTCGTCATCGCCCGCGTTTGAAACCCGTGGAATTGTACGAACTCGGTAATCGATCCGACGCCATAAGTGGTAGTGTTAGGTCTTGCCTAAATGGTCGAACAGGTGGGCCACGCGCTCCGCTTGGCAGTTCAACTTGACATTGCCCTTGGGGACCCTGCCAGCCTCGCTGATGCGACAGAAATGGAGCGTCTCCAACGCCCCTCTGATACAATCGAAAGGCTGTTGCATCCTCTAAGAGAAGCTCCTGGCATGGCCCAGCCCATCGCACTGTCTGGCTGGGCGAAGGCGAGGGGCCAGGCTTCTCGAGGGAGGGCCCAATGGGGCGCTTGCTTCCTGGCCTTGGCCTTGAGCAAGAAGAGGGCGGTCTGCAAATCACCGACCGCTGCGGTGGTCTGCTCGACGTTGGGCTCCACTGCCTGAGGAAGGAACTAACACTGACAGCTGCCTCCGCGAGCCTGGGGTAGACGTTGCTCGGGAGCCCCTCAGAGTGCAACGGGTCACTCGGAACATGCGCGCCGTCGGAGAAGTCAAGAAGCCCGCGCGAGAGAGAAGCCAGTCGCCCTGCTCGGGCTGCATCATCATGTGGCATGTATCGCGCAACAACGCGCGCTTGCATGCGCTCGCGCCGTCCTCCTCGAAATGCCTCGCGCGCCTGCGTTCCTCCTCATGTCCCCCCTGTCCCACGCGCAGCATTAGCTCCCCGCGTGTAGGCAGCGCCGCGCTGAAAAGCGAACGCTGTCATTCTTCGGGCCCCAGGTAAGTGCCGGCCACTTTCCCCGCGAGCTTCCAGATCATTTGCAAATTAAGTTGTCTTTCAGCTTCCCGAAGTTCCTAGGCCCAGGACGTTGTCTGAGTCCTCGGAATGCCCCGACAAGTCCCCGGATATTCTCGTCCGAGCGCCGCGCGATCGAAAACTTCATCGCGCCGGCGTCCCCGAGAAGCCTGCGAATGTCTTTATAGCGTGCATTCGCGGCGCGTGCGTCATCAGCTTGCGGTCGCGGTCGATGGTCACTAGGAGAACGCGCGTAGAAACGTCGCGCCTGCTCATGCAGTTGCTGCGATAGCAAGTGCTAGCGAACGTTCATCCACCAAGCCATGTGCTACACAATGACGGAGCTTGCTCAGCCCAATCATCGAGCGCCTTGCAGAATTGCCCATCAGACGATAACCCATAAGAAGCAGCGCGACGCGGACGACTGCGGTCACACCAGCTCTGCATAAGCTTATCCATGCCCCACCAGGTTCGCACATCTGGGTCTTCTGCAAACCAATGTTTGCAGCGCGCCTCAAGCACCGCGCGACAGCGATCTACATGTCTTCGGAGTGGGCGAGCCGTCTTGGTGAGCTGAAGCTTGAATCCTGTGCGGTACCACGCCTCGAGCTGGAGAATATGTCCCAACATTCGTTTGGGGGCGCCGAGATAGTCAACGCGAGTCTTACTGCTGCCGCTGACAGAGAAAAAGGCATGGCCTGATCCACCAGGTCTGTGGGCGCTCGCCAATGCCGCGTGGTTGGTATTCAGAATTCGTCTCCACATCGTCGTAAGGGGCTCTGGGCTGGGATTGCGTGGCCCCACTGCGTCGCCGCCCCCTCGTGCCATAGAGCTCGTGCCCGACCTTGCTGCACCCGCAAAGGAAGTTCCCGTCCATCAAGACGACGGGCGCGCATCTCGAGGGCAATTGCGCAAACGGGTCATCTACCCACTAAAGCAGCTTGTCGCGCCATCTGCGACTGAACTCATCCTGGGCCTCTAACATACCATAGATCGCAATGAAACAAATGTCGCGGTGTGAAATCCACTCGTTGCGAACTGCCACACCTCTCCTTCGGAGTCTTTTGGGCTGCCCCCTGCAATGAACCCTGCGATGTTTGGGGAAGAATCTGCGCATTACCGCCGGCGTGCACCCCGCTGAGCTCGAAGTGCCTGTCTGCTTCGCAATGCGTCTCGTCGGTCCTCTTCGCGTGTCCGTCGGCCATTGCCAGATTGTCCATCTACCCTCGCCCTTGCTGGTGAAGGTGAGGGGGCTGTCGTTGGTAAGTTGCCGGTGCGTCTGGCACGTGCCCGCGCGAGGCACCGCGTGTGCCTGCTCGACCAAGTGGAGGACATCCGTCAGGGATCGCCAGATCGGCAACGCCTGCGGGCAGTACTGCGCAGATCTGAGTCGCCAGCCAGCAGAAGCCGCCGTCGGTGCTGAGGGACAAATCTGTTCTGATTGCACATTGAGTCCGTGACACAAATGAAGCGCACAAGTGACGGGCAGCGTGGATGTCCCACGGACTGAAAAGAAGTGTGTCTGCCGCGCTGGGAAATTGTGCTCAAGCATAATGGCAGCGCTATGCTGATGATGACGACGATGATGGTGATGATGAAGATTTTTTCCCGCGGCACCTTCATCGATTTCTATTGAGAGGTAAGCGCTTCAACCTTGGCCTTCGTATCTGCATACACCTGGTTGGATCCGTCCAAGGCAGTTCGAGCCCGTCCGCGAAGGTCCTCACCTCCTCCAGGCTTGGCTAGAAAAGAAGACAGCTCGCGTCTCTGGGAATCGATCCTTGATAGTTGGGCTCGCAACTCCACAGTATTGCGTTCCAAACCTCGACATGCAGAAAAAAAAGCTGGCCCACTGCATCCTCGGGCGTAGTCGCGGAAGCAGACTCTTCCATCGACGGAAAAGCTGAAATCTCAAGAGAAGCAGCGTGAGAGGAAGAAGCCTGCTCAGCCATAGCAACATTGTCCCCCCTGTCGCCGCCACGGGTTTTATTTGCGAATCGGCGACGAGGTCAGAGTGGCAACGTCTACGGAAGAAAGAACTGCCTCAGCACATACATGATGCCGAACGGCGTCGTCAGAAGCAGTACCACCACCGACGGCGTCCGCAGTGTCAGCACCGTCTCCACGGAAGCCGGCACCACCACGAAGGTCAGCAGCAACACGATGAACGCCGTTTCCACTACGGTCGAGATCCAGCACCTCCACGAAGATCGGACCCCACACGATCGTCAGCACCTCGAAGACGGTCATCATCATCACGACGCTCAGCAGTAGCACGTTGGCCGCCGTCGCTACGAAGGTCGGCACCATAACATTCCCGAAGTACGGCATAAGCGCGAACTTCAGCAAGATCACGATCGGCAGCAGCTCCACGAAGTTCGCCTCCATCACAGAAATCTGGCCCACGAGTCGGCCTCAATACGATGAACACCATCCGCGCCATCGTCGTCACCAGCACGAAAGTCGACAGCAACACGATGAAAGTCGTCTCCTCGACGGACGGCGCCAGCACCTCGACGAAGATCAGAACAAGCCCGATCGTCTGCACCTCCAAGAAGGTCGTCAGCAGCACCACGGTCAGAAGGGAGAGCACGAATATCGATAGCACGAACATCATGTCGAACACCAGCATCCTCTTCAACCTGGCAATCAGCCCCAGAACCTTCATCAGGAGCACCATCACCGTGAATAGCAGCTGCAGGAAGAACTCTGCGAGGATCGTTTCCGCCACCAGCATCAGCCCCCGGACGACCCCGAACATCGAGAGCAGCAATAACCCGAACAGCAGGATCGGCAACTCCAGGAAGGTCATCACCGCCATCAGGAGCATGGGGATAAACATCCACAGCAGCATGAGCAGGAAGGGGTACCGCAACAATACTGAAGTGCGAGACACCCTTGGAGTCCCTATGGCCATGGTCGACAACAATCGCACTGTCGAGGTCCCCCAACATCATGCGCAGCATGCCGACGATCAGGCCGCTGCGGACCGCAGGGGAGTACATCGGCAGCATATCGACCTTTACGACCAGCTTGTCCTGGTAGGTGTGCACACGAGCGGATGCTTGCCGCCCGGCCTCAAATTCCATGATCGCCCACGCGAGGCGGCGGCAGAGACCATGGTACAGGATCGCAGTGGCCAAAAACCGAGAGAAGACAGACGCAGGGGGGCCGCAAGAGCAGCCCTGTGGCTGCACCTCAAGCATGTGCTTGAGCCAAAATGGCTATGATGATGATGATGTTGATGTTGATGATGTTGATGATGTTGATGATGATGATGATGATGATGATGATGATGATGATGATGATGATCCTAGGTCCAACTTGTCACACAGCGCGCGGGATTGCCCCGCTTCGGGCCTCAGAGCCCTCACAGAGCTATCCCGCTCGAGAAGTGGCGCGGGAAGATCTGGTCCAGGGCTCTGGCCGTGGTCAATGTTGCAACGGCGGGTTCCAGGAGAGCCAGAATAGCAAAGGCAGCTAAGTTCGCGCTGCGCGAAGTGTTGCAACGTCGGACTCCAGGAGAGCCAGAGTAACAGGGGCAGCCAAGTTCGCGCTGCGCGGGCCGCGACAGCCGCGAACAGCTTCGAGCTCTCGCGCCGCCCCCACGCCCACGGGGAGCAGACCGCGAACCCCGAAGCGCGAATGACTTCGCGACCTAGCGGCGGACTGGCCCAGATTAAACCCAATGTTGAGCCGAATTTCGCATTGTTGAACTGGATCGGGCGGGACTCAGCCAGATTCGGCCTGTGTTCGACCACGGATACAACAGCGCCGACGCTGAGTTGAACCTCCCAGGAGCTCCATCCAAACGCCCCCTCCCCCGGAGGACCTCTCCTGCGTGCGCAGAAGGGAGACGCTCTTCTGAGAACCAGGGCACCCCTCGGACAGCGGCTCCCCGCGCGGCTCGCCCCCCTCCGCGCGCCGCCGGGAGATTAGTCCTGCACCTCATTCCAGGGCTTGCGGGTCCCGGCCCTCTCCTCGTCTCTCCCCCTCCGCCCTTCCCTCCTCCATCCCCCCCCCGACGGCAGGCGCGTGTCGCGGCGGCTTCGGCGTTGAATTCCGACACCGTGCGAAGCGTTCAACCTCGAACGGTCGGCGGCCTTTCGGTCGCCAGATCGTTCCATGCTGGCCGATTCTACGCCACTGGCGGCGTTCAACTTTGACCGCCCGCGCCGGGGTCGCCGCCACGTCGATACGACACGAACGCACCGTGCCACGTGGTCGGACAGTCTAGCCAGAAGCTGGAAGGTAGGCCGCAGCAGCGGAGGAGGGGAGGGTAGATGCACACCAGCACATCGCATGCCCAACATCACAAGGCCAGAGCGGGATCTCTGCGCACTTGTCGCGGCACAGGACCGCTGGTCGAAAACTTGGAATCGACGGCCTTGAATCACTTCGTTCCTCCCCCCCTCTCCCTCCTCCCCCCCCGTCCCCCCCCTCCTCATATTTTGTCACATCCCGCGCTGGCCGCAACAGTTCCTGAAAGCCCTCGCCGCATGCGCCCTGCACCACCGCAGCCCAGGGCATCCGGCAATGCAGGCCAAGCCTCCAGTCCAGACAACATTCATTCTCGTACGCCAGGGAGGCCCGCACCGCTGCTCTCTCAAGTAGTGGCGGCGCAGACCAGGCTGCTGCAGCAGCCTACGACGAGCTCATCCAAAAGCACCCAACCGACCTCGAGATCATGTGCAAACAACTCCGCTCCAGACAGCCTCGACTCAGGAGAGAACTGATGAAACTGTGCAGGAAATCCAAGATCAGCTACACCGAACTGCATTGTTTTGCTCTGCGCGCGCTGAGGGCACCAGCCGTGACCCACCAAGATTCATGGCCCCGGCCGTTTTCCACCAAGATCACACCACAGCCCCTCTCATCAACCTCGATGCACCAAACCGGCACGTCCCGATCGCGACCCCGCCCACCAGGGCCGACTACACGCGATAGGAATTTAGAACCCCCCTCAATATGGAAACTGATTATCTTACGGCGACCTTATTGACGGACGGGGGAAACAATTGATTATCTGCGGCACCCGCCGCACAACAACGACGATGACGACGACGACTGCGACTACGACTACGAATGCGACAAAGATTAAGACTACAACCACGAATACGGCTACGACTGCAATCGCGACTACAATCACGAATTCAATCACGATTCCAACCACGACTAGAACCGCAACCCCTGATTCTTGCGTTTAGTTTAAATCATCATGATAAAATGCTAACAGTTCCTCTCGGGTGTACGGTAGGCCACAATGGTGGATTATTCCCTGTCCAACACATAAAGAAAACAATATCCGCCGCGTCAGAGACGCCTGCTATGCTTACGACTACGAATGCGCCTACGATCGCGACCACGATCACGACTACGCTCGCGACTACGATCGCGGCTACAACCACAACCACAACCGATGATTCCTATTGTTGGGTCGGGCCTGTCCGCCTACAGGGGAATTTGGGACGAAAAATGATCAATAATGGTTCTAAAATGCTAGAAAAATCGTCCCCAGACTATTTTTGCATATTTTTGAATACTCCTGATGAAAATATGCTCGCCAATCCTCTCGCGCATGGGGGGCCCACACAGGATTCCCTGGGGAAGAACCCCCCCCAAACATTATCCAACTAACAGAGGGGCAATCATCTCCGCCGCGACGACGACAACGACGACGACGATAACGACTACGAGGAGGAGCAGGAGGAGGACGAGGTGCAGGAGGAGGAGGGACAGGAGGAGGAGGGGGAACGAGGAGGAGGAGGAGGATGGGAAGGAGGAGGAGGAGAGAGGAGGAGAGAGGAGGAGCAGGAAGAGGAGGAGAGGCGAGGTAATTCCCCACCGACAGAAACAGAAGGTGACGATTCAAAACTAAAGACCTCTCTCGGTTACGGGATCTCAAACACCACATGACCCAGCGCACGCTTGAGGCAAGGGGCCATCTCTTGCATCATCCCCAACAAAAAGAATCTCCCCGGGCCGTGACCGTCCTCGAACCCACGGACGCCAAAAACCCAGGCGCGTGCAGGGCCGCCACGCCTTTCATCCCGAGGGCCTGCTCGCGCAACAGACGGCCTGCGCTGCTATTCTCCCAATTAGCGACGGCAGCCAGGGTGGAGGACCTGGTCGTGAACCACCAGGGCTCGCAGCCCCAGTCGAAGACGGCCAGGACACCGACACTGCGTCCCCCACGATGGATCCTGCACGGAGCCCGCCAGGGACGGCGCTTGAACTTCACATGTCAATAGCACCATCACCACGCAGTGCCAGTTTTAAGGCAATGAGGATCAGAGGTTCAGAGAGTTCTGCGACCCTTTCGATCGCTGCCCTGTCGACGATGTCGAATGCAATATGTTCATGAGCATCTACGAGGATCTCGACAAACACGCGCTCCGCTGGCGCGAGCTTGGGCAGGCTTGGGACGCATGCGAGCCACACGGAATGACAGTGAGGCTCTGTGCGACCTCGTGGTTGCGAAAGGCCTCGGATGCGACCTGGGGCGCTCCGCCGACCATTAATTCGTACAAAAGCCCGCCAGCGCCACAACACTGACCGACGATCCTTGGGACTCCGTCGCTATCTTTCCAGCAGATGCCACGGCGGCAGTGGTCGCTACGAAGCCACTGCCCTGAACTCTGGCGCTGCAGCCAGCGCCAACCCCCAGAGATGCACCCACCAGGGCGGAGCCCAGGAAAGAGCCAGCCACCGCGACGCCCATGGCGCGGCAAACGCCGACGTCAGCAACGCCACCTGCAGTGCCACCTGCCTCCACGACAGCTCGCACGCGAGCTGATGACTCGGATGGCGAAATGGGGCCCCGAGGACGAGGTGGACCTGCCGAGCAGCGCTCCCGGTGGCTCGGGGGCCCAACCGTCCGCCGTCAGGACCGAGCCTCAGGTCGGGCCTGCCCCCCTACAGGAGGATTTCGGGCGACAAATCAAAAAAACAAATACGAGAAAAAAACGAAAGATCGGCCCCGTGCTGTTCTTGACTGTGTTCGAACATGCCCCCCTCGAGGGACGGGCCCGACTGCACCCGAGCCCGGGCCCCGCCAGGGCAGACGCGCGGCCCGTCAGGGCCGACGATCTGCCCGGGGGCGCCTCGGCCTCGCCCCGCCGCCCGCGCCCCCCGCCCCTCCGGGGAGGCACCCAGGCAGCAGTCCTCTGGCCATCGCTCGGGCGTCCATTCCCTGTGTCTTTTGTTGGTTTCGTGCGTGCGTTTTTCGCCCAATGATCAAGGATGCTCCTCGATGGCCCTCGCCGAGAACAAATGCGCACGTCCGAGCGATGCCAGGTCCTTAGCTGGGCAAAGAGCCCCATCCACGGCCCGCGTGGCACGGTCATCGGCCGCGCGGGGGCGCAGGACCAGAACCGGGCGGCCCTGCTGACCAACGGCAAGGAGGAGGAATAGGAGTAGTAGGAGTAGGAGGAGGAGGAGGAGGAGGAGGAATAGGAGTAGGAGGAGGAGGAGGAAAAACAAGACGAAGGGATGGGGGCACAGGGGAGAAATCACCTTTCGAATCCGTACCACAGGGACAAAATACCACCATCGACGGGAAACGTCTTCTGGTCGGGCCCTGGGACATGGCCCCCGCTCGCACAGGAACAAAACCTCCGGTCGACTGGGCGAACGTTCCTCTCTTCGACGGCCGAATGTCCTGGTCCCCGCTTGACCTCCCGATTCGCCCTCTGTCTGGCCAGAAGCCCTTCAAAGCCTTCGACCCTCGTCCCAGAGAAGAGCACGAGCTGCAAGAGCATCCGCTGGCCCTCAAGTGTGGGGACAGCAGGCTCCCTTTCGGGGGTGTCCTGATTCCTGCGCCAGCACCAGTCTCCAGAGTGACGACGAGGAGTCGCGCCCCAGTGGCCAGAACCCCTCGCAGATTGCACCGAAGTCGCGCTCCCAAGGCCAGAATCC